CAAAAAGTCAACGCTTTAAGGGTATTCGTATTTCAAGAGACTAAATAGAATTATGATCCCACGGCCATGAGTTTTGTGTGCTGAAGACTCATTATATACAAATACATCTTAATGACTCCATTGTACCCTTCATGGACTATTGAAGACAACCTCAGGCCTTATAGAAAATATATTTACTTCGAGTTAAGTCACTAAACGTCAAATTGACAAACGCTTTGGTAAGGACGAATCTGGCGCTGATTGCCCCAAACATAAACTTCAATAATAAAAAGAACTATGGTAATTAATGTAGAATAGGTCTTCAGCAACCCGCCGTCATATAGCTGGAATATTGCTGAGTGCGGCGTTAAACAACAAACAACAATAACATCTGTACATGTCTGCCCTCAATAAAGTATAAATGTCTGCCCTCAATAAAGTATAAATGTCTGCCCTCAATAAAGTATACTTATCAGCTTATGTTATTCTGTGTGTATTGTAGGACTTAGATCTGTGTCACTGGATATCGATCTTGTCGATTCTCGAGGAAATACAACAGCAGGTGTGCACGTTGACCTCTTTACATTCAACAAAGATGCTATTATATACTACGGCTATTTATAATGCCGTGTCACATTTTCCAAGAAACTTCTATTTGAAAGGACTATCACATTTCGGAGAAATACAGTGACGTCATGATTGTAAATTTAGTAAGGGCAGGCTGACTGTTTCGTAATCACTTGAATTCTGATATGTTCACGTGGACCGCACCTAGCAACAATGTAATCTTTGCGGCAGGCAATTTATGATTGATTGATTGATTAACTAGGCCCATTTACACCTTGCCCATTATAAAGGTTTGCTAAGTACCTGGATATTTTATAAAGTATCAAAACTGCCACACGCTTTAATATAAGCGATAATGACATTCTGAACATCATGGTGAACAATATTCCTAGAACAGAAAATACCAGACAATGAGAAGTCAATATTGAGAACTGTTAGTGGGGCCTTCACACAGGTTGGCGGCCATTGTGCCTCCTGTGTGCGACTATAAAATGTCTCAAGGGTTGCCGTGGTCGCCGAATGGAGGCACGGCGGTCGCCACAGTCATCATTCAATGCGCGCTGGTGGTCCCCCAAAGGAGGCAGAAGCATCGCCCAGATTGACGGAAAAGTATTTCAGCAGAACGCATCTATTACCTGGTGACCATTGGGCGACCACTGTGCCTTCATTCTGCAACAACGGCAATGCTTGTGCCTCCCCTCTGCCTCCTTTGAGCCACCTTTGAGCAACCAACCTCCTCGGCTATCTTTGTGCGACTATTTTGAACATGTTAAAACATTCACGGCGACCATGGCGTCCATGGCGATGTCTGAACCACCTGTGTACCACCTTGGAACGATCTAGGCAACCATTCTGCCTCCTTTGAGCCTCCAACGACGACCTGGCAAAATTTATGGTCGCACACGTGAGGCACAAAGGACGCCATTCTGTGTAAAGGCCCCATTAGGTCATTGACTTTGTGTATGCGTAGATTATTTGTATACATTACTGTTTATAATAAAAAGACTAATCATTTTCATATACATCCCATAGGCAAGAGTCGCCCATTGGATTTGGACCATTCGAATTGTTCGCGTTCATGAAAGACGAAAAACGATAATGAACAACATTAAGCCTCTAGATGATGCAAAGGCAACTAGTAAAACCAACCTGTTTTCTCTGGTAGCTTGCTTGCACCCGTTCCAGACATGGTTGACGGCACCTGCATATACAACACACATTTGAGCAATAACCATGTCTGACTGATCACCATTGACTCCAACACAATAGTAATTTCACCACATGGGCTATTTTAGGTCAAATCCAAATAATTCATATATCTATAACATATGCGGAAGACCAAAATCTAATTCAGATGCAAATATACTTCAGTGATTTACATCTTATGACGACGGGAGCAGGTTCCATAGATGTTCACCCCTAAAGTGTTATATTCTCGGGAAATAACCATTTCAGATATGTTTTGAGATCAATAGCATTTTAACCATATTGTGACAAATTTGAAGGAGGTTTGAACATACATAAGTAAAATCAAAACAACCTAACTGTAGTACTTGTTATATCGCAAATACGAATATGACCTACCTGCTGTAATGAAATTGTGTTATGTTTGAGAAGTTTGATGTTCAACGCACTCCAACTGATAACTTCCCCTGAATGATCTATAGCGACAATAGCACGTGAACCAGACTGAATAATCACTGGCTGGTAGCGGGTATGCACCAATGAAACGTTTATGATGTTGTTCTATTTAAAGGAAACTGAGTAATCTTCTATTTATAAAGACAACTTGTCTAATGCGCACAGATAGCATATTATAATATGATATAATTATAGAGGATAATATAGGAGTGTTCATGTCGTACTATGCTTACGACACGAGTGTGAAAATACCGGAATTTATAATTAGGCACGAGTGTCGTAAACATGGCAAGACGTCGAGCCTGACCACCCGACTATGCTTGTTGTAAAAGGCGACTAATGGGATCGGGTGGTCAGGCTCACTGACTTGGTTGATGCATGTCATCGATCCCAATTGCGCGGATCGATGCTCATGATATCAATCACTGGAGTGTCTGATCCAGACTCGATTTTCTACAGACCGCCCTCATATAGCTGGAATATTGCCGAGTGCGGCGTTAAACAACAAACCAGAACTAAACCAAACATTAACACGAACATAATGTTCTATTTATTACTGAAGAAAACAATCAAACAGAGAAGAATTTTTGTGTTCACCTATAAGGACAGTAAATCGAAACAACAGTGTAACCACTGTTTGTCAAATGACGTCAACAATCTTCAGCTGTGAAGTCGTTTCTAGTGTGACATCATTCTGACCTCATAATAAGATTCGAATGACGTCAACAATGTCTGAAACAATACACTGCAGTCTCTTGACGTGATATGACAATTTATATGTTTGTCTTCGTAGGTAATATATATAAGTTATTGACACATGGACTAAAGCGGGTGCATTTTCTTCGTCAGCTCTGTGTACTGATTGTGATCTAGTTTCACGAAAATTTCATTGAATTAATTAATTAGTTTGTATGTTCTGGAAAGAGTTTTATTGAGCCAAAGTATCAGCAGATTTACAACTAATTTCACATTCTCGAGGAGACTGGGCTATTCACACTTGGCTATCACCTTTGTACTCAAGGTCTCACGGGAGCAGCAGATTTAAAACTAATTTCACATTCTCGAGGAAAGTGGGCTATTTACACTTGGATGCCGCCTTTGTACTCAAGATCTTACTGATCAATAATGCCAATAATGCCAATAATGTATTCAAAACATGCCAAGCGTGATGTACTGACGGGGGGGGGGGGGGGGGGGGGTACCTTTGTGTCGTTGCTATGAGTCGACTGCTTCATGTGGGATATGCATCGCCTGTATGACTTGCATAAACAAGAGATGAGTCGATGCTGATTGGTCAATCTGAGGTACCACAAAAACCACGCTGACGGAAACAGCTGATTTGATGACCGCATGTGATTTTACAGAAAATTATTTTTTTCTCAGTATTAGTCGGAGGTTTCAGCTGTTAACATTTCAGGGCATCAAATACTCAGCTACCCCCGCAAATATGTTTAACAACATTTGTATAATATAAAAGTAAACAGTAGTATGGTTTTACGCCGCTTTTAGCAATATTCCAGCAATATCACGGCGGGGGACACCAGAAATGGCCATGGGCTTCACACATACGGGAATCGAACCCGGATCTCAGGCGTGACAAGCGAACGCTTTAACCTCTAGGCTACCCGACCGCCCCCTTTCTGCACGTGAAATCGTCATAGTTGTGAATAGACATGACTCTTGTCATGAAGACATCTATGACGTCATGATCTAATGGTTGCGCCTGGTTAACAGATTTTGTAGGAAACTATCGAGGTTGTTCTGATGAATATTGATAATATTGGATATTTAATTATTGTGGCATCCTTTTCAACAAGATGATGGTACTTTTATTTATGAAACTTAGGATAGAGGAAAATATAGAGTAAATGCCTTCATTGTTCCTCACTTGATAAAAAGACTTGATTACTATGCGCGGTGATACACCCAACCCGCAGAGTAACCAATACATGGCATTGTCACAGTACTTGCAACCGTGTCAGTTTAATGTTGGAGGAAAACCCGAAGTGATACATGTCTTCGACGTTTACTACTTCGGTGGGGGGCACGAGTGGCCTCGTCGTCTAAGGCGCTGTACATTGTTGCTTCCATTGGGCACGCCAGAAACCTATGATTGTGGGTTCGAATCCCGGTTCGCCCCATTATCTTACCTGGTTAGTCAGCACCATACCCGTGCTCGTGGGTTTCACAGAAGTGGTAACCGTCTTAGACCTGCACCACTTCGGGTTTTCCTCGTTTGATATCGTGTTACTGTTAAGCAGGAAGTGTATGTGACTCAAGGAACAGTCTGCATTCGCATACATGTATCTTTCAATGGCTAAGTCGCTGTATTCAGAAATGTGATAACTTCTTTGATAGGCATTTAGAAGTTGGGGTACTAAGTAGGGATAAGAATTTATGGATGAACAACTTCTCTATTACAATTAAGAGCGACGTTTCGGTGTAGGTTCTACTTGGGTCAGCCATAATCCCGTTGTTTACATTACTGGCTTCATCCTTTGTTTATGTCACTGACTTCACCGATGATTGTCATCACTGCCCATGTGTGTACAAAACAGGCTACTCTACTCCAGTATAACAATATCTACTCTACTGTATAAACATTGCCTCATACTTGTATATATACTTGCCAACCACACTCTGTAAATCACTTGCTTTATAACGGTGTTAGAACCTACACCGAAACGACGCTCTTAAGTGTAATAAAGAAGTTGTTCATCAATAAAATATTATCCTTACTTAGAAATGTGATAGTCGTTTCAAATTGAAGTTTCCTGGAAAATGCGAAACGTCATTATAAATAGCCATGTTGTTGTGTCGAGCGTGTTAGTTGGCTGGGACTTTCAAGGCAAGTGTGGGCTACTCTCATACAGGTTTTGTTGGATCAAGTCCTATATATAAACATTCGATTTATCTCGTGCATCAATACCGTGGTAATATCACCAACAGGTAAGTTCATTAAGCTGTTCGTCTTTCGTTCGTATATTTGTTGTTAAAAGCAGCACTCAGCAATATTTCAGCTATATGACGGCGGTCTGTAACTTATCGAGTCTGGACCAGACAATCCAGTAAAGGACATCATGGGCATCGATCCACACAGTTGGGATACGATGACATGCATCAACCAAGTCAGCGAGCCTGACCACCCGATCCCGTTAGTCGCCTCTTACGACAAACATAGTCGCTTTTTACAGCAAGCATGGGTTGCTGAAGACCTATTCTATCCCGGATCTTCACGGGTCAGCTGTTTCCCTGATCACACTTAATATATTTACTGTGACTTTATCAAGGCTTGCCAATAACCAATAAGCATATAGGCCAACTGTGTTCCGGTATTGGTTAGGATTGGTTTTAATCCGCACATTGATTTGCTTCACGTGTGTGTGTGTGTGTGTGCCTGTACTAGTCCGGACTTATGCCGGTTTATAGTGCTAGTCCACTGAGATACAACGCAGCAGTTTTAAGTGGATATCCCACTCATGATCCGACACAGAATACTGATATCCGAGCCTACCGGTCCTTATTTCATCTCCGCAAAGAGGAGCGCCAAGCAGGGTAACAGCAAGTACCATCTTTTCACGTCACGTGACAGGGCATGAGATCGAACCACCGGCCTTCCATTCTCCTTGAAGACACTTGGCCACGGAGGTAGTCCCAGTATGACTAAAACCTTTCGGTGAGACCCAAAATCTTCTATCACAGATACACTGTTAGCGTTATTCAAACTGATCAACTGAGGGAATGAAGTGAAGAACACTAAATTATCATTATTGTGACGTGAAAATGCTCTACAGAGAGGAAGTCCAAGCATTGTCCAGTGCAGTGCCAGAAGTCCAGTTGTGTTCATCTTACTGAATTTGGAAACACTATCCAAATCCGTTGTCAATCGAGGTTTCTACTAAAATACATTGCCTCATCTCTAGCGACCAAAGCGCATTACCGGAAATTATTATGGAATAAGATCGGCTTTTGAAATAGCCCACATCTAAATACATATTGTCTTTTGTGGTGATGCCGTTATCAGGACAATTATGATGTAACGTTAACTCCATACCGCTGTCGCGCCAGTTTATGTAGATTTTAGAATGTCATAATAGCATTTTGATTTGTCGATCCATTTTTTTCTAATCAAAATGAGAGGCTGATTCAACTGGATGTCCACACCTCACTACTCCTTACAGCTTGCCGCGTTACTTTAGAGGAGAAACAATGATTTTCCGTGAGTTGTTTCCCTACCTCACAAGATGTAAACCAATTGGTATTTTATGGAAACTACGAAGGGAACTGTTTATCACTTCAAATGTTCTAGTTTTGTATTCATCATCTGAAATGGGCTAGAAATACAACCCCTCAAAGCAATGAGCATTATGTTCAATATACCAGGACACTGTGCAAGAAACGTATGGTCCCATTTCGCACTGATCTTACTAGTCTTGTCTGCACAATATGCGCGAACGTCCAACGTTACAAGCTTGTCACACATTGAAATACTGCTCAATGCAGCGTTTAACCAAACAGTCATATTTATCGGCATACGACAGTGTGCTTCAATGTCGACCAGATCACAAAGAAATTGCACCTTTTATCTTTTCTATTTTTTGTTGCTTAACGCCCGGGTATGCTGCGCTGGCGCTAAACTGACCCAGACAATGACTGCACAATGGCCGCCTCCCCGAAACGAAAAAACATGGCCGACACGCCATGTATTTACTGAAGAAAAACGCCAGAACGGGTGGTTAAAATGTTTTCTTAGCATTTTCATGCTCTTGCAATGTATATGTCACGAGAATACCGTCCATTATTACTTTTAGTGAAGGAAAACATTATCTAAGCTGTTTCCAGACTCGAACGTGATCGTCACATCGGTGAAATGTAAACAATGACATACACACCCCATTTTCAGCAGTGTTATGTGCGTTAATAGTTCGTTTCAGCTCACTGTTATCACGAAATCGTATACATAATACATGGAATAAAACGACCACGTCAATGAAATACCGTTAGCATCTGTATTTCAGAAAATCTGATTACGCAAATGTCGTCGATTATGCCCCGTTTTCTCCCATTGTAAAGTGGTGGGTTTAGCGGAGTTATTGAACGCATAGCATAATAACTAGAAAAAACGAACACTTTTTATCCGTAATAATGATATTTATTGACAGGGTCTGTCATTGGTTCTGACATTTGGCCTCTGGATTTTATTCACATGAAAAGACTTTTATCTGGCATTAGTTTTCTTTTTAACATTGAAATTAAATAAATATAATAATTTTGGAAAAATAATTGATAAATTATCAGTCTTTTGAGCTGATGGTTCTTGCACACATTCGCAGGTTATTATCCTCATTATTTCGGCATATCGTCAACAGGTAATAAACCTTTGTGTCCGGTGAAAGAATAACATATATGTAGCCTAATATATTTTCAGTCAATGTGCACATTTCATGATCAACTGAAACTCTATGATTCAGGTGCATACGTAAACAATAGCTCATTTCACACGTTACAGTTCATTTTGACACGTTACAGTTAATATCCACATGTCACAGTCAATATCCACACGTTACAGTCAATATCCACACGTTACAGTTAATATTCACACGTAACAGTTAATATCCACACGTTACAGTCAATATCCACACGACACAGTCAATATCCACACGTTACAGTTCATATTCACACGTTACAGTTAATATTCACACGTAACAGTTAATATCCACACGTTACAGTCAGTATCCACACGTTACAGTTAATATTCGCACGATACAGTTAATATCCACACGTTACAGTTAATATTCGCACGTTACAGTTAATATTCACAAGTTACAGTTAATATTCACACGTTACAGTTCACATTCACACGTTACAGTTAATATTCACACGTTAAAGTTAATATCCACACGTCACAGTTCATATTCACACATGACAGTTAATATTCTCACGTTACAGTTAATATCCACACCTAACAGTTAATATTCACACGTAACAGTTCATATTCACACGTTACAGTTAATATTCACACGTTACAGTTAATATCCACACGTAACAGTTAATATTCACACGTTACAGTTCACATTCACACGTTATAGTTCATATTCACTCGTTACAGTTAATATCCACACGTAACAGTTCATATTCACACGTTACAGTTAATATTCACACGTTGCAGTTAATATCCACACGTTACAGTTAATATTCTCACGTTACAGTTAATATCCACACGTAACAGTTAATATTCACACGTAACAGTTCATATTCACACGTTACAGTTAATATTCACACGTTACAATTAATATCCACACGTAACAGTTAATATTCACACGTTACAGTTCACATTCACAGGTTACAGTTCATATTCACACATGACAGTTAATATCCACACGTAACAGTTCATATTCACACGTTACAGTTCATATTCTCACGTTACAGTTAATATCCACACGTAACAGTTGATATTCACACGTAACAGTTCATATTCACACGTAACAGTTCATATTCACACGTAACAGTTAATATTTACACGTTAAAGTTCACATTCACACGTGACAGTTAATATCCACACGTAATAGTTAATATTCACACGTAACAGTTAATATCCACACGTAACAGTTAATATTCACACGTAACAGTTCATATTCACACGTTACAGTTAATATCCACACGTAACAGTTAATATTCACACGTTACAGTTCACATTCACAGGTTACAGTTCATATTCACACGTTACAGTTAATATCCACACGTAACAGTTAATATTCACACGTTACAGTTCACATTCACAGGTTACAGTTCATATTCACACGTTACAGTTAATATCCACACGTAACAGTTCATATTCACATGTTACAGTTAATATTCTCACGTTACAGTTAATATCCACACGTAACAGTTAATATTCACACGTAACAGTTCATATTCACACGTTACAGTTAATATTCACACGTTACAGTTAATATCCACACGTATCAGTTAATATTCACACGTTACAGTTCACATTCACACGTTACAGTTCATATTCACACGTTACAGTTAATATACACACGTAACAGTTCATATTCACACGTTACAGTTAATATTCTCACATTACGGTTAATATCCACACGTTACAGTTAATATCCACACGTTACAGTTAATATTCTCACGTTACAGTTAATATCCACACGTAACAGTAAATATTCACGCGTAACAGTTCATATTCACACGTTACAGTTAATATTCACACGTTACAGTTAATATCTACACGTAACAGTTAATATTCACACGTTATAGTTCACATTCACAGGTTACAGTTCATATTCACACGTTACAGTTAATATCCACACGTAACAGTTCATATTCACACGTTACAGTTAACATTCTCACGTTACAGTTAATATCCACACGTAACAGTTAATATTCACACGTAACAGTTCATATTCACACGTTACAGTTCATATTTACACGTAACAGTTCATATTCACACGTAACAGTTAATATCCACACGTAACAGTTAATATTCACACGTTACAGTTCACATTCACACGTTACAGTTAATATCCACACGTAACAGTTAATATTCACACGTAACAGTTCATATTCACACGTTACAGTTCATATTCACACGTAACAGTTCATATTCACACGTATCAGTGAATATTCACACGTTACAGTTCACATTCACACGTTATAGATCACATTCACACGTTACATTTCATATTCAAAAGTTACAGTTCACATTCACGCGAAATAATTGTTTTGTTTGTTGTTTATAGCTGCACTCAGCAATATTCCAGCTATATGACGGCGGTCTGTAAATAATCGAGTCTGGACCAGTCAATCCAGTGATTGATATCATGAGCATCCATCCACGCAATTGTTTCGTTTGCTTGTTTAACGCCGCACTCAGCAATATTCCAGCTATATGGCGGCGGTCTGTACATAATCGAGTCTGGACCAGTCAATCCAGTGATTGATATCATGAGCATCCATCCACGCAATTGGTTTCGTTTGCTTGTTAAACGCCGCACTCAGCAATATTCCAGCTATATGACGGCGGTCTGTAAATAATCGAGCCTTGACCAGACAATGATGTAATTGACATCATGAGCATCGATCAACATGCATAGCATGCATCAACCAGCGAGCCTGACCACCCGAACCCGTTACCACGCAATTGGGATCGATGACATGCATCAACCAAGTTAGCGAGCCCGACCTGTTAGTCGCCTCTTACAACAAGCATAGTCGCCTTTTACGGCAATCAGGGGTTGCTGAAGACCTATTCTACCCCGGATCTGGCTTATGCGACTTTTACAAAAGTTCAAAAGTATCACAAATAAGGTAGTTAGTGCACTGAACTAACATGTTTGTAAAAAGTTTTTCACCAAACTGACGCTAAGGGGACTGCATATGCGCCGTGGTATGTCATGATTTCTGGGCACTAGAAATGGTTGTAAGGGGGCTGCTTCTGTTCTTGCACGTTCTTAGTACTTTTAGTTGTAATAATATTTTCCCGTTATTTTAGACATGGCACAACAGGGAACACATAACATTGGTATGTCTGGTGGAATTGCGGTTCGATCTAATGCTTGTGGGCAGTATAATGGACCTCAACAACAAGTCCACAACAGAGGTAAAGTTATGTTTCATCCGTAAGATAATACATCCTCACATTGTGATTTGTTCTTTGTTTGTTTGTTTGTTGTTTAACGCCGCACTTGGCAATATTCAAGCTATATGGCGGCGGTGTGTAAATAAAGTTTTCTATCAACATCAATTTTATAACGAATGTATCTCCCGTACAAAACCCGTTATTAATGTACGAAAGATATCAGCACATTATGCCATTTGTCAAAGAACGTATTCAAGCCCATCGCATAACATTTGTAATTACATATGTGTGTACATTGGTTTTGAAAAAGCATAACATTTGTTAAACAGACCAGAGAATTCAGGATGGAAATATTGGAGCTCTAACTTCTGGCGACAACAACCAAGGACCAATGACTGCAAACATTGGCCAAGAAAGGACCGAAGATTGGGGTAATTTACCACTGTTACGTTTCATACATACAAGTTATGTAATACATCTTAACTTATTTACCACATAGAGGACCGTTAATTGCATCAAAACATAGAAAGCACGTACCATTATAAATGTTTCATATACAACAGTACATCAGTGCATGACAAAACCGACATTATTTCAACAGATCCAATGAAGGCCACATCTGCAGATGTTCAAAACCTGCTCCGACAAGAAGAGTGTGATGACAACACTATTGCCATTTTCAAAAAGAAGAAAATTAATGGAAGAATGCTTCTCAAACTTAGTCAGGAGGATCTGAACCAGTATGGTCTGACGGATGAAGATGAGAAGAAACGAGTCCTGGACCTCATCCAAGATGTTCAAGATGGAAAACTAAAATTGAATTGAACTGGTCAGGAAAAGGTTCCAGTCAAATATGAGGTTGCTCCTGCTACTCAGTAAAGCATACAATTTGCAGTTTCTCTTGCTTCGCTAAATATAATTTGCTAATTATTTCTAAGATGCCTAAGATGCCTGATACACTGTTGCATAGCCCGTTGAAGAAATGTCGACATAAACCCTTTACTTTTGAAATATATATGCGTGGTTAATTCAACGGAATTGGAAATAAAAGAGAGAAGTAACTGTGGTTGGTCAGTTTCATACTTCAGTCCGTTCATATAACATTCACTTTGTTGAGCATGATCTTGGGCGAAGGGATAAGAATGCACGCTTCATTTAAAGCAATGTACCGTATGTCATAGGAATTCGGTGTGGTACACCATCAATGTCTTTTTCGGAAAATATGTAGTGGCACTGCTTCCGAAGGTGTTTGTTTGATTAATGAACGTACACGGTTATACGATCAGATTGAGAACTCCATGGAGATCTGTCTGACTTCCAATTATGTGGCCCAGAAAAATGCAAAACGTGAACGATAACATTCTGGATTGATCTCTCCAGTAACACGTCGAGTGTAGATCACGGTTGTCATTTTTCTTTTGGTAGTGACCTTACACTCCCTTTGAACGTGTCACTGACACGATTTCGATGCAGACTCGAGTTTGTTTTCACTACTTCAGTATGTGTGTAATTTGTGTCCAATTTGTTTTCAGTATTTGTATAAATGACTCTCCTCGATATCTCTTATTGTTGGTTGAAGAGGTGTGTAATCTAAAAGGACAGTTGAACGTTTAACTTTGAATATTCATCAGCAAAGTGTTCTATTAATATTTCTATTGCGTTTCCAAGGCAACAAGTTGTATCCGAGTGGAAGTGGAGGTTGGTTTATTAATTTTTAAACATTTTATAGACACAAAAAAGAGCCGAACTGATGTTCTTTCATATACAGCTTCCCTGACAGAAATTTCAGTTTTGGGTAGAGTTTGCAGACAGTGGCAAACGTATGTATATAGTCAATATTAATCTGAGAACTGCTTAGAAGGGTTCAAACTTTCTGTATTGATTTAGGAGGATTTGAACAAATATAAATGCATAGTTCCATTGTTATTTTGCGTATACATCAAACTAGGAAGGTGTCTGTTGTACTTTTTTAGCAGTTAACGTCACATAAACCGATTTACACAGCCACTTATGTAGGAACCTTTTCAATTTGTTCACCAACATTTGATCATAAAAGCGACAAAATCAGTTCCATAATCTGTACGATTCTGATACGTGTTTGTGCATCACTATTAGATTCACGTCATAATTATACTGATGCCTATATGCAGCAATATTTTGATAGCTATATTCTTGTGGGATCTCTCATGTAAACTTAATTGATTTACAATGCTATATCATCGAGATGTGCCGTTACGTAAGGCTCACATTAGACCTGATGCCGTGTAATTCGTCCAAGTTATTGTGCATTAAACAGTTTTTTAGCATTTTACGAACGCTTCTTATAACATTCAGCCAGAGCGTCGGACCTGGATTAAAAATTGTTATAGTGTACATTTCACAGTTGGTAGTTTACATTTTACCCAACAAAGAAGAGATATGAAAATAAGTTTAGAGAGACAATTACCAATCTTACAAGATCAACAAATCAACATGGGGATTACTCAGCTGACAAATCAGCATGAATGCTTTACTTGCTTGTTGTTTAATGTGGCATTCCAGCTACATGACACACACACACACACACACACACACACACACACACACACACACACACACACACTAACACACACACACACACACACACACACACACACACACACACACGTACACATACACACAAAAAAAGAAAAAAGAAAAAAACCCAGTTCATATATAATCAGAACTTCCATATCCACTCGAAAATGGCACACATGGCACTGATGTGCACGATACCACTGAATTATTATGTTGTCTTTGTGTGAAATCATAAAAGCGATAGAACCCTTTCCGTCTTCATAAGAAATCTCCGCCAAAAGCAGAATAGATTGGGTGATTCATACAATAGCATGAGTATGACAACGCACACGTAACTGAGTCACAGAGACTGACCACCCTACTTTCTCACTTTATAAGAATAAGAGTTTGCTGAGGGCCTATTCTTGCCCGTAATTCATACGAGGGTTGTGTAGACTGCGGGTAAAGAGCATCGATCCACGCAAATGGTATACGATGACATGCATCAACCGAGCCTGATCACCCGATCGCGTTAGTCGCCCCTTACGACAAGCATGGGTTACTGAAGATCAATTCTTCACGGATCCAGAGAGCAAAGGTGACAAATTAGGTGAAGTTAAGCAACGTTGGCCACGGAAACTAGATGGATGGGTGACCTGAGGCACGCTTGACTCCTGAGAGGTTTTAGGACTTCGGTACACTTAAGCACCTGTTACGTGTTGTGTCTGTTCAGGCTAGTGGCTTTGTTCGAAATATGCACAGCAGGCAATGGGTATTATACGATTATGTCAGAGCAGATCGGAGACCGGAAGGTCGGTAGTTCGATCCCCTTGCCCCAACAGACGTGGCCCAGGTGCCCGGCACCAAGGGGACAAAGCATGAACTGGTCGGATCAGAGACATCATAATGTGTCTGAGTGGGGTATCCATGTTAAACGGCGTTGTATGAGTGGGTTATATAACCAGCATAAATCCGGACTAGTACAAGGAGCAACACATCCATGTACACTCAGGTACGCCATATGAGTGCATAAATTTTGAACGCGACATTTTGCCTTTCACAACACCACTATCCAACGCAACAAACCGCAGGAAAATCTTAATCCAAAAATATACCACATACTCTGAAACCTTTCAGTCTTTGAGTTGTGTGGAATATCGTCTCTCTCTCTCTCCACCACTATCCCACGCAACAAACCGCAGGAAAATCTTAATCCAAAAATATACCACATACTCTGAAACCTTTCAGTCTTTGAGTTGTGTGGAATATCGTCTCTCTCTCTCTCTCTCTCTCTCTCTCTCTCTCTCTCTCTCTCTCTCTCTCTCTCTCACACACATTTAAAAGTCTGTTTTACTTTCTTATTTTGGAAGTTAGAAGAACTGTGTTGGTTAAAACCTTTTCTGGTTAACATGTTGAACCACTGGAAAATTATACATGTGGAACATATATTAACTATTATTTTGATATATTCTATACAATATCTATATCACAGCAACAGAAAACTTTAAAAAAACAGGGATAGTGGCAGGATCAGATTTGTTTTCTGCGAACTGTTAGAAAGTATAATCATCTTAAAACACTAATCCTGGCTGGTATGAATGATTTCCGGGCCCTTGTAAGCGCAGTCGGCAGTTAGAAGGTAGAACACTTGCAATGCATTTACTAGTACGCTTATCTACGGAAAGATCTAAAAAAATTGAATAATTAAATGTGTATGTATTGTATTGAACGCAGAAGAAAATCATGTGTACGAGTGTTCATTAATCTGCTCAGGAGGCTTATTGTTGGACCAGTCAGCGCACTGAAGCGGGTAAAGCAGGTCTCCGATGTCCAGAAGTAAGACTTGCATAATGATGCATTCAAAGCATTTCATTAAGATTGTTATGAGGGCTACAGGTCTATAATCATAGAAAGTGGATGGATTGGTTTTCTTTGGAACGGGGATACTGTTAGATGGTACCGCTGATTTGGCGTATGATGATTATTCAAAGACAATTGACATATTCTACACACCATCAGAGCCAACTGTAATTGTATTCCGTCTGGTTGATCTGGTTCTGATGCCTTGCTTATATTAATTTTGCCAGGACAATCAATCACAACCCTTGTAATTTTCATCCATATTGATATTCTCCAAAATTAGGTTAGTTTCATCTGTAAAAGCTATGCAGCCGAATATTGCATAAACTTTGCTTACGTCTTCCACGAACACAGCTTTATAGGTGACCGACATATTTTGTCTCTCCTTCTCGTTTTTTCTCACGTTTTCATTCCAGTCTTGCCGAAGATTGTTTGCTTTGAATTGAGACTCAAGTTCATTCTCAAAATCCTGTTAACACTTATATACTTTCCGATGTATTTACTTTTGAACTATTTTCTTTTCCATAGAATCTTTCTTGATGAATGTTGGCTTTTTTCATTTAGAAGACTTTTCAACTTGTTTTTTCTTGTTGTTTGGACAGATTTTAACTCCCTTCGATTATTATTCTGTGTAAAGCATATTACAGACTGTTCGAAATTGGGCAAACAGTGTCCAGCCTTAAAGTCTCATAACACACTTGCTGCTTCAAGGCTGATATTGTCCAGCTATGTGATCGTGAATTTTCTCTGCTGCTTTTTTATCATTTAGCACTGGGTTGAATGTACACCAGCACCACAAATATCTGTCCAAATTATATCGAAATATAGTTTGGTCGGAGAGACACTGATAAAAGTTCTGGAAAGAATGGGTCTTAGTATGTGTCTATAGTAGATGTATTGTACTGCTGTAGTGAGTGTGTATGGTTTTACGCTGCTTTTAGCAATATTCCAGCAATATCACGGCGGGGGGACACAAGAAATGGACTTCACACATTGTGCCCATGTCGGGAATCGAACCCGGGTCTTCGGGGTGACGAGCGAACGCTTTTACCGCTAGGCTACCCGACTGCCCCGTGTACTGGTGTAAGTATGCATCTGTACGGGAGGTATTGTTTGGTCTGGATAATCCATATGACGGGGTTAAGCAGTCTACCAGAGGTCAGGCAGTGTGGTGTCACGACGCTGGGAACTCTACAGGCAAACAGGAGACCTTTTGATGAGACGTCCGCGGAAATGTAAGCCCTATAAAAACCAGCGAAAAAAGGCTTATTGCTTTATGTGATCTCTTTAAATCCTCTTCACAAGAGCTCTGTAATATTCCAGCTATATGACGGCGGTCTGTAAATAATCGAGTCTGGACCAGACAGTCCAGTGATTAAAATCATATGCATCGATCCACGCAATTTGAGAAACTACATCCCTCGACATAGTCAGTGAAAGTGACCACCCAATCCCATTAGTCGCCTCTTACGGCAAGCATGCATGGGTTACTGAGAGCCTAGTCTAATCTGGATGTTCACGAGTTTCTTAACAAGAAAATACCGAGTTCAGAGCAGGGACAAACATCAGACTTATTGACCACACGGTCCACAATCGCCCCCTATAGGCGGGTCTCAAAAGTTGTAGTCCTGTGTAAAGCATCAGAATGACCAAAACGTTTACGTATTTCAATGACCAATACGTTTTGAGTGGGTACGGCAGTTTGGAGTCCAAGATTTACGTCAGTGGCGTCATACCATGTTGAGTGATGAGTCCAGGTTCTTTCTGGACCATCAGATGGTGGGGGTGCAAGTTTGGCGTAGGGTTCATGAACGTTACATGCCATGCACCATCAAAGAACATGACAGATATGGTGGCGGATGTGTGATCGTGAGGGACAGGATCACGCTTAACAACGGGACTGACGTCACTCGCCTTGACAGTAGGGTCACCGGTATCTGTAACCGTGATGAAGTGTTGAAGCCAGTCGCGGCACCGTTGTCAGGATTAAGTTTGAACATTGTTGACTGTGGTGTGCTATGTTGCAGTATGCCTTGTAACTTTATTTACGATGAACGTAACTAACAGCAATGTACTGAGGCGCTCGTAAGGTACTGATGCATTATTGTTCGAGGCAGTATTTTCTGGAAGGCTGTCTGGTATCTATAAAAGAACGAGACAATGAAGATTCGAGGCCTTCCAGCTACGACCTGACTTGCTTCGATCTCCTTGCCCTTTCGTGATTGAAAACCCCATCGTGTGATTTCAACATAATTTGTTAATTGTCCATTGGTCTTCTGTTGTTATTTACTGATTTCACAATTTAGTTATGTATGTAGCGATTCCCAGATAAACTTGACATAAACATTCACATTCAATCGTTACAATGGTCGCCATTGACATCTGTGTGACCTAAATAACCATGTTTTGACTCTTTGCTGTTTTCTTTCTTGTATACCAGCATGCTGGAACTATATCTGCATGTAGTACTGTATGTTTTGTTATATCGTTTAATGTCATGAATGTTAACCACGTGTAACATCGTGTACTTCGATCTTACTGTCAGAAAAAAGTAGTCATTAGTTATTCGTATCGTCATATTCATAAGGGTCGTCCATGTGTGAAGTGTGTTACCCTCAAATACTTTTTTAAAAAATCAGTTAAAGTCCATTGTAGGATTATGACTATTTATCATGAGTATGTGTTTATGAATAATTTTGAATACGCTAAACTTGTACACAATGCGTTTGCACCATTCCCATGACATTTGCTTATTCTTAGATGTTGATCATATATATATCAACCCAATTTCGAATTATTAATGAAGGTCTACTTAAAAACCTGAGGCATGTCGTGATCCGATGCTGGCAGGTTCGAATCTAGATTGTTTGTAAGCATTAAATCGTGCTCTTGGGTTTCAGCAAAGTAATAATAATCTTTATTAACGAGCTTGTATGTGCTATCAAAAAAGAATGTGACCATTGAATTTACGTCTGAAAGGAAATTGATTGGTTGGTTCGTTTGTTGTTTAATGCTGCACTCAGCAATATTCCAGCTATATGACGGCGGTCTGTAAATAATCTAGTCTGGACCAGTGATTAATATCCTGAGCATCGATCGAAGCAATAGGGATCGATGACATGCATCAACCACGTCAGCGAGCCTGACCACCCGATCCCGCTAGTTGCCTTTTATGGCAAACATAGTCGCCTTCTACGGCAACATGGGTTGCTGAAGACCTATTCTACCCCGGAATCTTCATGGGTCCAAGGGAAATTGAAGATGTGATGCTGTTATTATTAGCTGGTGATATTGTTCTCTATGATTATACTGTTCGTGGTTTACAAAACAATTCGCTTGTACATTGGGGTCTCACTGTATATTTAGCCATACGATGCATTAAAACAATACACCGACAAATTAGCAGATTATTTATTCGAAATCACAAGCATAATGATAAGCAGACATTACACACGTGAAGTTTTAGCTCAACCTCTAGCCTTTTACCGATTGCAAATATACAAAAACCTGTTTCGAATGTAATTAGCTCACATGTGTCAAAAATCGTCATAATTGCAATACCAATCATAACACTCCAAATAAAAAACTGCACGTTTGCGAGTTTAAGGTGAACTGACATTATAATAGTATTAATAACTCCAAATGTTCACATTTTGTGATTTCTAAAATATTTAAAAAAAATGACATTTCACAAACTGAAGACTCATGATTCAGTATCTGCTCCTCGAATAACGTTGTGTAAATAATATAATTTCCGGAATTCTGTTTTGAGCAATCAAATCATACATTTCTGTTCACAAATTACATAAAGTCAGCGACAAAGCGGTTAGGGCAGCATATATATGATTTGTCGCTACTGCAAAACCGATCAAGCATGTTTAACAGGAGAATATATATAACAAGGTATAAAGTTATTTTATGTATACCACACCCCAATGCGATGATTGGTGTCAAGAAATCAATTTTGTATGGTTGCTTCATGTAACCCGGCATGTAATAACAGCCTTAAAACTCCAAATAATAAGCTGCACGTTTGTGAGTTTAAGCTGAAGTACTAATATAAAAATACCTAATGTCAAAGACAAAGCAGTGTGGGCAGTATATAATAATAATGCGTTGCTGTAGAATGGCTCAAGCATGTTTAACTGGAAAATATGATATGCATACGCTCTACTATGTCTATTGAAGGTTATTGGCGTGTGTCACAAACACGCAATATGTTGTTCTAGGAATGAAGGTAACTATTTTTAATGGAGAATGTCCAGACACTTATATCAGAACAGACCTTCTTCTTGCAGTCTCTTGTGGAATTTCCGGAGTGTTTTCTTGCGCTTGATAAGTGACTCTACTAGATTGTTATCAGATTCGTACTTTTTGTAGATCGATTGATCTGGACAAGCAATAAGACATATTTTCTTTCGCTTCTTGGCGCAATGTTCTGTGAATGCTTTGCATTCTTTAGCGGTAATTTGGCCTTCGATAGCAGCAGCAAGGAAAGCTGTGATCTTCAACTCCAGTTGCTGCCACTCGGCCGCAGCTCTGTTGTATTGCTCAGCCTTCTTCTCATACCCTGATGGCACAATCGTTTCTATTCCTTTAAGTGCACCAGCGAAGACGAGAAAGGCAAATACAGTTCCAATGATGTATGGAACTTTCATGGATTGCAGAATTTTGATTTCAAGGTAGCGCTCGATTGGTGCAGTAACTCTTGCACCAGAAAGCAATGCCAGCACACCAGAAACTGCTGCTCCAGCACATCTAACACGGAAAGCCTTGGACTCATTTTCACTTAATGATTCGTAGCACATAGGGGCTGCTTTGAAACATCTCACCTCAATGTCTCGTAAGTTCATCATGCTTCTCCTTATAGCTGTTTCCTCATCTTTAACTGGACTGCAGTACGGATCCTCTCTGTAAATGAAACAATATTCTTTGCTAACGTACTGTATAGGTCTAATGAAGATTTTGTAAGTTTCCTTTACGATGTTATCGATAATTTTGTCTTCAAATGCCACAACAATCCCTTTGAAAGGAAATTAGCGACGGTCAAACATGTCGCTCCCATCGCTTGTTCTCGGTTCAATGTGAACGGCGACCATGTAACATGGAGAGGCGGAGCCAAACTTAAACTTTTCTTCTTGTATCCTCATTTAAAAACGGTAGTTTGCTGCTGAATAACAAGAACATGTTTTGTAGTCATTTTTTGTATAGAAAACCAACTTATGTTCCATTGTTAGACACTAAATGACTCAATGAAAAACTCATTTCATTGCTCAACCTATGTGTCGGTTACACATGCCATCTTTTCCTCTTACAAACATATGTAGAAGAAAAACATATATCCTTTCCTGGTCTTTTTATTTGAATGTTCTAAAACCGTTCTGAAAGTAACTTAAACCAAATAGATCTGCCATATGCCAACCAATCCCAATTAATCACTTACACTATTGATCTTCAAACGTTAATTAATGAAATGTCCTCAACAGCATATGTACTGTTCTCCATGTCTTATTCACACTTGCAGTCTAATTATAATTTATTACTCTTTAAAAATAACTCCCACCAACACCCAAAGTCGCATATATACACACAATATACACACATACAAGTCATATATACACCTCGTCATAAATATCGCACTACGCACTTTTTTCACTAAGTAAAACTGGATCCTCAACCTGAAAAAAAATGGTGCTTAGAAAAGCACATTAAAAGACAGATATATATATACGCCATTGAGGACATTACAACATTCCCTATGAAAAGACAGATATATATACGCCATTGAGGACATAACTACAGGGATGAGAACCTAGCGTGTGTCAGACAAAGGATGTGACAAGGTGTAAACATGTGAGCGTTCAGTCAGACAATTGACAACACAAGACCGAATTTGAGCACTAATTGAGGGTTTAATTGTAGCAAACTAAAGTTCACTAAAATCACCGTGAAATAAGATGAAATAAGTATGGCTGCCGGAGTCGTTACAACAGACACACAACACAGTTCACATTTCATTAATGTCAACACACTAGTAAGGTCCACAATGACAGGCTAACTCAGTATCTGGTGTAACCGCCTCGCACATGGATAACATGTTCTACAGGCCGTCTCATGCTGGTCACAAGACGTCTGAATCTCTGTTGGGGGATCTGCTGCCACTCATCATGCAATTCATGGGTCAGTTCCTGAAGTTTCTGAACCGGAGGATCCCTTGCTCTCACCCTACGTCCCAAAATGTCCCACAAATGCTCAATAGGATTAATGTCTGGACTTCTGGCAGGCCAGGGTAGTGTCTCAATGGCGTTGTGTTGTAGATGCTGAACAACAGCTCGAGCACGATTTGGCCTGGCATTATCGTGCACGAAAACTGGACGTGTGGCGGGAGCATGGTTATCGAAATGAGGCACGACAGCACCGTCCAGGATCAAGTTCTGGAACCTCTGTCCATTCAGTGTTCCGGGAACTGTGATGAGGTCAAGTTTACAATCATAGTAACAACACCCCCACACCATTGGGGGTTCCACCCCCAAATGGAACATCAGCTTGAATGTTCCTCTGATCATATGCTGTGCCTCTCTGCCTCAAAACTCGTGCCCTCCCGTCTGTATGATGCAGCAACAATCTGCTTTCATCGGACCAGTGTATCCTTGCCCATGTCCTCAGGTTCCAGCGAGCACGTGCTTGGCACCAGGCTAAACGGGCATGGCGTTGCTGATTTGTGAGGAGTTGGCGTCTGACTGGTCGTCTGGTGCTGATGGACACTCTGTTGTATGGATGCCATCAATGTCGCAGCTGTGTACAAGTAGACTTTGGGCTTCGTCTGTCTTGGCGTACGAGCGCACGATCTTCCCTGTCATTGGTTTTTCTGGGACGTCCAGACCTCGGTGCATCCTTCACTTTACCGAAAGCAGTATGCTTACGTATTAGCCTGCTGATGATTTATGCTATGATTAATGTTCAGTTGTGCTCCAATAGCACGACATGACATACCAGTCTGGTGCATACCAATAATTTGCCATCTTTGGTTCAGAGGCACTGAACGCTTGGGCATTTCACAGGTTGGTCATAATAAAGCTTGATTTATGCCTAAAACAAAATTTCAGCTGTGTCTGCCAACATAACATACGCCAAAAGAGGATATGTGCATACTGCATGTTTAGCAAACCAACCCCCGGTACAAGCATGCTCAACGCAAGTATGCACGTGCAGCTCGGAACAGCGTGTGTTTTCGATATTATGTTCACAGATGGTGTAGTATACGAAATATGTACTTGTAGTTTAAAAAAACGAAAATTATATTTTCTACTTTTACTTTAAAATGTGTGGTGCGATATTTATGACGAGGAGTATACATTTCGTTACCTATTTAACTATAGACACGACTTTTTGATGACAAAGCATCAGACAACATGTTCCAGTGGTTGACAAAAAAAGTGATAACAGACATCTTCACCTTATCTGGCGTCACAATGAAATCTGATCACGTGTGTTGGGGGTTCGGGGTAGGGCGTGTGCCGAAGGTCACCGTCATTCGCAAATCACTTTACATTTTTGTATTATTTGATGCATAATCATGGATGTACTGAGACTTCGTGATGAAAACAGGCAGCAAAATGCTCGACGAAAACGATTCTTTGGAGACTTTGAAACAACGAAATAAAAACAGAAAACTATCGTCGTCTGCTAACGTTTCTCGAACTATTCGTTTTTTTGTGAGTGATGAACAATAGAAATTGCCATAACATGTTAAGATGCTATAAAATTCCAAAAGTGTGTTTTTTGTGTGTGACGTGTTTGACTTCTAGTTCATCATGGACGGGATGCTTTTAAACAGTTAGCAGTCAAGTAACCATCTCATCCTACCGGGGAACCCGTTCACTCCTGGGCGAACTTTAAACGTGTTAAGCCATGGGTGGCGCCATCTTAAATTATTCGCGACAATACTACTGCCATTAAAAATGGAACAGAAATGAATACGATAATTATCATGAAGCAAACGTAACATTTAGAAACGAGATTAGCTGTCAATAAAGTAGGATGAAAAAGGTGGGGTAAGGTTGTTTCTTATAACCCCCCTTAAAACATCGGCGAGTATTTTGTTTCAATATTTCGAAACTGAATGAAATACAAGAAATCAGTTGTAAAACATTTTTCATTCTTTTTAGTGGTGGAGTTATAATGTTTACCGTCCCAGAAATTACTTTCTTTGGAGAAATACATCACAATATACTATTTTCCTGACTACACATGGATCAATAACAATGAAATAAATAAAATACAGAGCAAACTTCGTTTGTAGTTCTTCGCCGCAGTACTAACGATTACTATTGAGAAAATTTATATACTGCAGTTACAGTGATATTACAACGATTTCACTTGGAACGATGCCGTTCAGATTAACAGGGTTTCGCTGTTATTATGCAATACAATTCATTATGTCGATGTTTAACTGTAACTGCAACAAGTATTCCCAGTCAACTGTTGTTTTTGCACCATGATAAACAGCATGAAATATTTAACAAAACCTCTAACGCACCGTTGCGGGATCTCGGACGCAAGCAGAAGGAAAACGACCTATGTACTGACGAGAATATTATGTGAATTGTATTTGAGGACACCATTACACTATTTTCCTTATGCTATTTACACGGGTTTTTCAGCACCTGTAATCTAGGGCGTCACCCAGTAAAATGTGCATGAAGCCTATCTCTTTTGCCCGTGTCCTCTCGGTTGTCGGTAAACACAACCATTACGCTGTAAAGATATCACTGTTTATCTGAGAATAAATTCCGCATCCGTGCTGCTAAGTCATGCATTATCTGGAATTCTAATACGACCCATGAAGATCCGGGTTAGAAAAGATCTTCAGCAACTCATGATTGTCAAAAGAGGCGACTAACGGAATCGTGTGGTCAGGCTCGCTGACTTGGTTGATGCATGTCATCGTATCCGAATGGCGTCGATCGATGTTCACGATGTCAATCACTGGATTGTCTGGTAGTCTATGTATGTAGTATGAGAATGTATTCTATGTATGTAATCCGTGTGAGTATGTAGTCTGTGTATGGTAGATAGATAGATCATCATTATTTCCTCCAAGTGATGAAGATACGTTGATATCACATATTACTGTATTCTACAAATGAATATATAACAGGGGATATCTTGTATCCACAGGACGTTTCACATCCATCGTTATCATAAAATGGTAGTAGGTTGTTCCACATTTTAACAGTTTTACATACAAGGAGGCTGTTGTAACAGCCTTTTGAGGCAGCTTAACATTGCTATGCTGTTTCTAATGACCTCTCCCTATAGTGATGAGATTGACAACTCAGTTGGACCAATTTGGTTGACATTTGAAACAACATCCCCCAGGTTGTTTTCATTTATCTGATGTCTTCAATGCGCAGCTGCTTCCTCACCTATACAAATGCAAATGCTGGTCACACCTAATTCTGACATTGTTACCTATGTGTTATTACACCACCCCTCGCTTCGGGCGCGTTGCTCTGACTCCTGTTACCAGCTATGGGTTTTGTCAATGATAAAACATTGATCAGACGCTTGACCAAATATAATGTTGTAATTTTGATAAACATGACATGTACTCTACTGTATATATAGCACAGTTACTTTTTACCCACTAGTATATATACAACACTGTCTACATGTGCAAATACGACACTCTACATCTACATTTACATTTACTAGACTATACAACACTCTCTGCATATACAGCATTATCTACATGTACATATACACGAATATACAACACTGTCTACATGTGTTCTCTACATATATTTCGCTGACTACTTATAAAACACTCTCTACTTATACAACGCTGTCTACACATACATCACTCTCCAAATATACAATGCCCTCTACACATGTAACGCACTCTACAT